GAGGAGGAGGAGATGGGAAACGATGGACTAGACTAGACTCAAAGCGAAAGACTAGGATTGGGATGTAGGATAAATAATATAAGAAAATAAAGAAAAGAAACGAAAGTGCCAGGGTGAGAGAGAGGAAAGCAAAGCGAGTGAGAATTTGGGGGGGAGGAAGAAACTGAATGGGAAAAGAAGGTGGTGGTGGATGATGAATGAAAGAAGAAGAGGGAGTAGGAGGAGAAGGGGGATGGGATGGGATGGGGATAAGATTAGGATGGGGATACTAACTACTAACTAAAGGATGGATGCAATCAGACCAGCAAGAGTACTTACTCCGTCCTTAGTGAGCCGGGCTGAGTGAAGCTGCTGCAAACGAGCAACGAGGAAAAGGCAGTTCTGGACAAGGCCTGGCCAATCCCACTCGAGGCACTAGACAGCGATGGACTGGCGATCATTGGCTGTCTCTTCCAGAAGGATGTCTGCCTCGAACAGCGCACGGATTAATGGATGACTAGAATGGCCGTGAAATGAGGGTGGATATTTTCTCACCAGGAAACGGTTCGAGTTAGTACTAGATTTAGTAGGATTAGTAGGATTAGTGAGATGAGTAGGCTCTGAAGAGTATAGCGTCTTGTGTCGTGTGTATGTTTGCGAGTTACTAGAGCATTACCCGCACCGCCACAGCCGAAATGAAGGCTGATACTCGGTTTCCACCCTGTTATTTTTCCAGGAGAAGTAGAGAAAGAGGGAGAGAAAAAAGGTTGCAAGCAGTCACTACTACGTATCTGCTAGTAGTAGTTCGCTAGATAGCTGGATAAACCCTTATGAACTTGCTCTGAATTGAACTTCATTCCTCTTTGTTGACAATTTACCGTTGATGGGCAACCACTCCCGCCCAAGTATTTTGCCTCCCCCTTTTCCAAGGTTTTACTCTATTCTTCCCCTTCTTCTCCCTTCAGATCTCCCTTCCCCCTGATCCAATTCTCCGTTGTCCATGGCCACCAGATCCGTGGTATGTGCTGCCCCGTCTTTGTTTTTTTTTTTTCCTTTCTTTTTTCCCGGCCGACGAGCCGCGGGTCTCCGGACTTCAAGTTCTCCTTTAGCCACTAATACTTACTAGTAGTTAGTGTTACTCCGTATTTAGTGAGGGTAACTAATACTACTGGGTACACCGTCCATACGGTCGCGGTAAGTGCCCGATCGCAGCCCAGGAAACCTCCTCTGCCTCTGCCTCTGCCTCCACCCCACGACACTAAATCGCTCGGAACCAGGTTTATCGATCAAATTCAGGAACTGCCCTGCCCTTTGCACCCTATACAATAAGATTAATTGGCTACAAATCCTGCATCAGGCTTCTCTGTTCGCTTTTTTTCCCGTTCCACTCCGAACTGAGTGGGTTCTGAGATCGGACGCCACCCGCATCGGGGATTGTATGTGTGTGCTTTTTTTCCAGTTCGATACGTAGTAATCCTGTCGTCATGCCCGTTCTCAGCGTTCCAAGGCCACCGCATCCAAATTACATCACCCGCACCCGGTTCTTGTTGTGGTGCTTGCACTCTGCAGGTGTTTGCTAGTCTGTACTCTTGCTCAACCTTGGTCTCCGATGCGGAATCTACACTTTCCATTCGGCATCTTCTCTCCCAGCCTATCTACGTTCAGCAAGGGGGTCTAGCCTCCCAGTCGCGATCATCTGCTGTCTCTAGAACTTCCAGCCGCCATATGTCGCATTGCCAGTTCGCACCACCTGCCCTAGCTGCCAGGCCTGTGTCTTGGAATTGGGCTGGCTCTCTCTGAGAATGACATCCAGCCAGCCTAACACCCGCACGTACCGGGCTTGCTTGCGTCCCAGCACAAACCGGAACGCCGCGGCAGCCAAGTATTCAACCTCGCACTGATGCACCCCGCGACGACTAGCTGCTGGTGGTAAGTTCGCCTCACGTCGGGCTTGGACCATGCGGGTGGCTAGGTGTATCACATCTCGAACGATTCGAATCACCACGGGCGCTGGGTGGACCCGCCCCGACAGCGACTTCAAGTATCGGTACATCTTCATCGCCGATATGACGAAGTTCGCGTACAGGTTCGATAGGATCACTCCGATCGTGTTGTGTTGCCTATCCAAGTACATGGGATGCATGAGCAGCTTGAAGGACCCAAGCAGTTTGCGGTGAAGAGTCCGGCCCGGTGCTCGCGTCACCTCGATGGTGAGCGAGTTCGAGAGACTGGTGGCGACTGATTGGCCCCCTTCCAGGATGCGCTCATGATCCTTGTAGATCTCCAAAGAACGAGTATCGATCAGACTTCCGCAGTAAGGGAAGAGCCGAGTATCCACGAGGCGCGGGATTTGAATCCCGTCCACAGCGGCGGCGAAGTTGACCAGGCTTTTAGCTGGATTGACCGAAACCCCGTACGCAGGCTGCCCGGGGATCATGACCTGGAGAAAACGCATGGCCAATGAGGAGTCGGTAGTGACGAGTAGAAAATCATCAACTAGGCGAACCAGTAAAGCTTTGTCTGACTGCAGAAATCCCAGCACTTGCTGCTCCATGTCTGCATAGAAAAGGTTGCACAACATGCTCGATAACACTGAGCCCTGGGGAATGCCATTGCGTTGCCGAAAGTAATTCCGCCCGAACTTGATGAGATTGTTTCGCACGTGGTCATCAAGGAGGTCCAGTAAATCTTCCGCATTGAATTCTCTCTGCATGAGGGTGTCGACAAAGACGGTGTTTCGCCTCTGGCTGGTCTCGCCGTTTGTCACCGCCTCTGCCAGGTGCTGTGGCCTTGCAGCAGGCGCTGCCCTACCGACAAATCGCCGCCTAGCCTTGCTTGGCCGGGCTTCGTGCGATGGCCACAGGACGTTGAATTCATCAGACGGCGTCATTTCAACGTGTTTTGTGTAATGATAGGCTGCTTCGGTGATCAGCCCTTCGATAACATGGATCAGGCTCTGTTGAGGGATTGTGTCAAAGCAAGATTGGATATCAAGCTTGACAAAGTATAATGGAGGCATCGAGCCCTGATTTGGTGATAGGTGTTTCTTGAATATCTTCAATTGAGAATGTATCTCCCCCACCGACTGCACACATGAGCCTAGTTTGGACGGTGCTCGTGTTTTCTCATACTGGAGCATGCTGTGGATCGGGGCAACAACTGAGTTGACGCTCCAGAACTTGCCGGGTTTTCCATGGCCAGCTAATAAAGATCTTCGCTTGAGATTCAACAGAGGGCGAATACCTGTTGATTTAGGTAATAGTCGTAATGAACCATATCCCATACCGCTTTTCTCTAATCTCTTTTCTACTATACGCTGAGCTATGGCTGGCTCCAGCTCTTCAAAAACGCTAGCCTTGAGCTCAACCATCGGTCCTTCAGTCAGCTGGCGCCACACGTCGTGCCGGAAATAGAACAGACGGTTTCGATGAGACTGGGTCTCGGTGACATAAAAGTTGGCTCGGATGAGTGGTATTAGAATGGAGTCGAACAGATAGTACACGAACTCATGAAGTAGCTCTGTTCGCTTCTCGAAGTCGGACCTCGACAGCTTGTTCTGCAAGAGATTGAATACTTGTCTTGAACTAGTAGGCTCAAGCCAAGGTATACAAGTGACCTGAAGATAGATTATTAGTATTGGAAGACAGGGACGTGGTTGTCAACGAACCTTGATTCCCTGGCACACATCTTGAAGACTCAGGTTTTCGAAACGCCGCATTCGCACGAATTGATCGACATGCTTGAGAATTTTTTCTTGATGCCGGATCCTGTTCTGACCAGTTCCGTAAAATTGGGGGGGAATCAGATTCCTCAAGGCAGCTCTACAGAAGGCAGATACGGATGCTGCAGGCGTCGCGTAGTCTGTCAAACTGAGCTTCGGTGCTCGTATTTTTGACATGTCGCCAGGATTCAAAGTTGAGTGACCACCATCCAAAACTGAGGACCAAGATACCTGCTGACAGGACAGCCGGGGTTGGGTGATCAAAAACTCTGGCGCTAACAAATTGGTATCATGAAAGGGCTCAGGGCCAAGTTTCCACGGGCCAATATGCTAAATAGTAAACGTTAGCTTAAAATCTTATAGGTGGGCCTGCGAGCATACCTCGGCGGGACAGTAGTAATTGAGTAAATATGTATATGAGCAATGTTTATTCCGGTTCTGCAGCTGCTGGACCAACTCTATAGCTTTGCCTTGGAGTCGTCTTGGGATCGTGATCTGGGAGGTATGGGCTCGCTTTGCTTTCTCTAATTTTGCAATCTCATCTTCGCGATAAGTGTAATCTTTGAACTGCATGTCTTGGCCACTCGACACGCTCGAGAAGACATTATGCAAGCCGAATTGTTTGGGGAATATGTATTTCAATACGTGAGCAGTGTGCGTGAGTGATGTAGAAGAGGAAAAGCGGTTCAAAACATCTATATTATCAGTTAAGAGGCGCCAAACAGTTGATCTCTCTGTACTTACGGCTTTTCATTCCTTTCATTCCAAACTGAATCTTTCCTTTCAGATCGAGCACTGGTGAAGCATACAAAATTCGTCGGCGATGGAAAACAATAGGAGCTGGCTTTTGTATAGTCGCCTTGTGGTCAGAAGTACTCTTGTCAGTTTTAATCTCTTTAATGAGATCAGGGGCCAGTACAGGCTTGCTTGTTACTGAGAGAGGAAGTGCATTCTTTGGTATCAAATGGTTTTGGGGCACCTTATTCACGGGTTCAAGGGTCGATAGAGGGAGCCCTAGATTACCATCTTAGTATATGTATACGCCTGCCAAAGCAGCCTGCTTACCACTTAATTGGAAATAGATTCCTCTTTTCTGATCAACGGCCACAAATATACCACAGTCCAGGAGAAGCTTTAGCATGATCTCTTCTCCATTGTCCCCCAATAATCCAAGCACTTCTGTCCATGGTGCTTGCTTCAGTTGCTGGACATTGTCATTAGGGAACTGCACCTCAAGGCCTGCAATACTGCATGATACTGTCCTATTCCCATAATGAGCAGGGTGCGCGCTCACGCGTCTGTATCCTCGGGTTAATAGATGAAGGGGCTTTTGACGTGAGAATCTGTCACGATTAAACAGGGAGGATATGACAAAATCAACAAGCTATAATATAGCGTCAGTGTATACTCAGGAAATTTCCTATACATAAACTCCAGAATGTATCATACCTCTGCCTGGGCACATAATGGTCCGGTGTCTGTGCTGGCTTGTTCAGATTTAGACTGCGACTGCGTAAACGCGGCTAGCTCTTGCCGGCGTTTTTCGTTGCATGTCGGAGGCGAGTCGGTCAATATACCCACCAGGGTCGTATTAAGAAGATTGGCAAGTAGTCCTCCTGAACCACCATCGTCACTTGTCTTTGCAGGAGCCGGCTCATGACATATTGACACAATTCTCCGACGGCGAGATTTGGAGGACAGGGGTATTTGGCATAGAAGATATTGTCTCAGTGTTACAACCTGAGAATAGTATAATGAGATGACTGGATGCGAGTGCTCTGCAGCATCATCACGAGCGAGGCTGCGCAGTCCCTTGAAACAAGTGGATGCTGGAGAGGTGCATGGCTGCGACAACCTGTCCAGCGCACGGTCACCCTTGATGGGTCTCTTCCTCTTCTTGCCCATGAGAGAACTGAGGGGTCAATCAGGGCCAGATCCCTTAATGCAAGCGAATTCCTGCCTCACATTGATGGGTGGTCTGATCATTACATTTACCACAGGGGACTTGGCGACCAGGTGTTGTGATATGTCCCAAAAAGGGTAGCGCGCTGAGACGCGCTCCGGCAACGCGACAGTCGGGGATCACGGGAGCAGCCGTCCTTGCCGACCTTCTGCAAACCAGTCAACCAATACCGAAATTGCTACGGATACTCCCTCCTAGTACTTTGCTCATTCTGCCATGTCCGTTGCCAGGACTCAGAGATTTAGAAGAGCCACCTGCTTCTTTGCTCAGGGTCATTTAGCCAGCATGCATGCACACTAACCCCCTTTAAGATAACCCAGAGAAGCCCAGTCGAAACCCACAAGCGATCGAAGAACATGGGGCGCCATGTTTGGGAGTGAAACAATTCTCCACTCACCGACGCATATCCCGAGGAGGCAGCACAAACGGTCAATAATCGAACCTTCCAAAAGGTAGCTCGATAGGAGACGTCCCTCAATGGGAAGCCTGGTAAGGCAACAGAACCACTATTCTGTTTGAAGATGAACTCTATTTAGCTTCTGAGGCGCCGGTTTTTCGCGTGCGTCGTCGAACTATTCGAAACTATAGGCTTCGTTGGACTATTGCTCATTCAAACTTTCAGAGCGAATCTCCTCCTGAAACGACTCCCAAAGTAGATCGGCAGGGCAAGGTGGCTACAGGCACCTCTCAAGAACTTGAATACCTGGGAACGCGGGTCACACGTTCTGACAGAAAACCGTCAATAGAAACGGATTGTGAAAGGATCCCTTGCTCCATATAGGCTACCAAAATCACACTGGTCATTGGCGGCATCGGATCACTAATGCTCGCTTCTCGAAGGGAAGATCTGTAAGCGACCGCCGATCTTTGCCAACTCCTGCTCGGCAGTCCTTAGTTAAACTGGAACACAATAAGATTTTTTTTCCCTTTCTATGACCTCAATGAAAGGACCGACACATGAGTTAACCGAGCTAAGGAGAAGCTGGACGCGATCTAGAAGTTCTCTTCAGCCGTAGGATGTGTAAACCTTAAAAGACTAACATTGCAGGCGGCAGAACAGAGCCTGGCGTGTCCGTCAAAGGGATGGCGGATGCAAGAAGGCGACATCCGGCGGGCCGCCGGGTGACCAGCTCCTCCGTCAGTGGTTGAAATTGGATTAACTTATTACCATTGCATTATTGCGACCGGGAAGATGTATCGTAGCAAGGGTGAAGGACACCAAGGCCTAAGACTGGTGAGAGGGAGACACACTTACACAGTACGTATTGAGTAGACTCAGATCCGTATGCCCCACTCCTCTTTTTAATTTTCCTTTCTTTTGCTTCTCTCTCTCTCCACTTACCATGCCTTACACTTTCAAACGGAGGTGAAAACGACACTGTTCGCTAATGCTGGAACTCGGATCCGGATTGCGGACGAGACTGGTTGGAAATGGAAAGAAAAACTATCCAATCAGCCCGAATTCCCGTCGATCCCTTGTTCCTGAAGACACCGCCGGATAAGAATAGAAATCATAATGAGGTTGTGTTCAACTATCGTAGCCACGGTGCCCGCACGGACAAGGATGGGGAGCTGAGCCAGATCCTTGGAACGACGGCGGTCTAGAAAGGTCGCCGCTAGGCTCTAGCAAGTAGTAGCGAGAGCCAGCATTCCCGACGGTGGTCAATCAACTGCAAATGATTGCGTCCCCACCGCGTCAGCCTCTCTCGCCTTGCGGAGTCCGGGGGGTCAAGTTTTCTTTTTTGCTACAGGCTAGCTGAAAACAACAGCCCCTGGTAAGTATGCAAAGCATGTTGACAGACAGTTCTGCCTCCTGTCTGTTGGTACCTGATCCAAGTCCCGGAGCCCTGGTTTTGCAAACGCCTCCCCCGGAGGAAGGGGGAAAAGATAGAAGCAAGTCGAACAGAACGAAGAGTGTCGCTGCATGAGACTGCCGATTACCCCGTATGATTATATCATGCAAATCAGTCCGTGGTACTTTTCCATTCTGACTGCAAGGACGCCCAATTGCCCACAGCTGTGAAATAAGCGGTGTGGTGGTAAGGGCACCTGTCTAATCTAAAAGGGCGTCCTTTGTTAATCCGTGTCGGTGATGGTATCTTAGCAATGCTGGGAGAAGGACGGGACTTGTTGAAAGCCGACAAGGTTACTCGTCCATTCAGATCGCAACACGACGCTCCGTACTAGTGTCACTTGAGTATATCCATCCACGGAGTACTCTAAACTAAATTAGACTCTTCCACGACCACTCCATGACCGGGCCTAGTGGAGCGAAGCAGGTACGTCATGATTCTTATTGCAGGCGGTGACATGCGAACGGGATATTGACAGATGCATGTTACATACCAGAGCAGAAGCAATAGAGTCGACTACTATACGTCCCGCAGATATGGCAATATGCTGTTTAGATCAATCCAACCAACCAACTGATCTACATGGCTTGCGCGATTGGATGGTGAGTGGAAAATTGCATTTCCTGTATGATAAAGACCACATTAGCAGCAGATCTGCTAATTCTGGATAGGCTGATAAGGCACATATTCTTCCTACCTCATGAGGACTTACCGTAGTACTTAATCTACTAGACCTACAGCAGGCCAATAGGGTAGCTCATTCAGGTGTCACAACAAGTACTTTTATGTAGTATGTCCCACTCAGATTCGCGTATAAAGGCATGCTCTTGTCGTGGGGCTAGCTCGATGTAGTTATTCCGACTCACCGACATGGCAGATATGACCCCTTTCCTCCTCCCTTGCTCCCACGGTGCCACTGTCAAACGGATGGGAAAGGCAGAGACGGCGCGCAGAAGTGCAGTCTCTATCTACTAAGGAGGGAGGAGAAGGATGATCACGGGGGATATCCACTCACTTCATTAACTCATGAGAGGAGTCATATCTTCGTATACATAAAGCTGCTACCTACCTTTCGGGGATGAATAGATTGAATAGTAGCCATAAGGTCTTTTCCGACCCAACATCGTAAATAATATGCTAGTATATGTCACGTCACGTCCTAATAGAAAGGAAAACACTTCGATGCAATAACTGACTCGAGCAATAAGACACTGCTTTTTAGAAGCATAAGACAATATATTACTGTATCGTGTATGTATATAGTACGCAGTACGCATCCAATACGTGAGATACAAGAATGATGAGATAAGCATTGAGCACAAGCATAACTAACTATCAGAAAGAGAACACAATTATCGACCATCCCACGCATTGGCCAGAAGAACAGGACTCGGCGTGGACATTGGCATTTGCAAGACGAACAAGGGAAATTTCGACGAAGGAGAAATCCCTCAATTAATATCTTTCTTTCCCGACAAGACTGAAGGACCACGGGCTTGGTGAAGAGTAATCAAACAAAGACTGGTGCATGAGACAGAGTCCCATGGTACAACAACCAAGAGAATGAATGGCCGGGTCATGTAATCAAACTCTGTGCCCGTTGCTTTTTTCCTTTCCTCCCTGGTGTCAAACGATCTAGAAGAAAATTTCTTCTCTAGAACGTCTCCTGATCCGAAGACTGATAAGGCGCTAGCATGCCTCGCAGCGGATAGGTCTTTCCCTCCATCATATAGCCATTCCTTCTGCCTCACTAGATGCAGACTGCGGGAAAGCCGGCCACTAAATCGGTGGGATCGGCAGTGAATGGTGATCTAGATAGTAGATAGATCCTCAAATTTCGCCTGTCTCATACCCCTGGGGCTGTTATCTCTGTTTACACCTAGGGAAAGCCAGGTTGTGGCCACAAGAGGGATCAAAGACCGACCTTTCTTGAACTGTCGCGATTGAATGAGTTTACTAGTCATTTATCTTTTAACTCTAACCTGCTTCGTCATCTAAGCACCGTAGGCCGGTCTTCCCAAGATCTAAAACCTGGACTAGACCGCCGGCTAGTATCCGTTCTCCGTAGCGAACAGGTCGTAGTAATCAGCGGCCTGGCAGTTTCAGGTATTGGCATTACCGTACACAGCGAATCTTTCCTTTGATGGATCTTCCCCCCAAATCGTAACCTTTCGGATTAACAGGCCCATTTTTTCGGGCATAAGTGGGAGGGGGGGAGGGGGATGAGACTGAATGGGCATCAGACATCGAGACCCTCTTTACCTTTTGACTTCTCTTTTCCTTCCTTTTTCTTATTCGGCGTCTTTTGTGTATTTCCGTCTTGACGTTGTCTCGGCTGGCTTAGGTTGGTTTGTTACTTAGGTATGTCGTGTTGGAACTTGGAAGAGTCATCGCTTTATCGAACATCCATAGTTAACAGTATGATGCATCCTTGGGTGGCTCCAGCTTTCCGATTGTCCCTCTCTTTCTCTCTCTTGTTCCTTTCCTCCCCCCCTCCCTCTTCCTCCAATTAATTAAATTGTTTGCCGGCCCCTAATCCACCTTCTCCGCACCCACACCCAAAACTGTCGCAGCTACGTACTAATTAATACCCAATTTAGTATGGAGTAATTCTCAGGACGCATCATACTTAGCCTACTTAAACTAGATCGTAAAAAAAATTAAAATAAAATCAGAAAGAAAAAAATCAAATAAAATAAAAATAAGTAGAAACACGGACACTTTCAAACAGGGCTGCTGGTTGTTGGCCCACCTGCAGCCCTTCTCAATCGACAGGACCATCAGGCCGATTCTGGGCTCGTCGCCCATGATTCCTATTTGATGAGTATCATGTTGCTACTGACCCTACCTGTTCGTCATCCCCGTTCTTTTCCCTACTCTTTCTTTCTTTCTTTTCCCTCTTCTTGCTATTATTACTGCAGTCTTACCCTGCCACTTTGACCTCAGCAAACCCCTCCCCGACCCGCCTGTAACGGACCTTTTCGCTTTCCCCCCCCCTCCTCGCTCCCCTGTTAGACGCCGTGCAAACATTCGTCCCGCCCGTCTTACTTTGGCCAGTCATCAGGGTTCCCATTTCCTTCTTTCCGCCTGTGCTGTGTCATTGTTCGTCTTGTCGTTGTCCTTCCCAACGGAAGTTACCTTCCCACCCCCCTCTATTCCCCCCTAGAACTTGTCCGATTATTATCTATCGGGCTTCGGTTTTCTTCGCCTCTTTTCCATTTGGAGGGGTCAATAGTGGGACAATTCCTCCGGCCTTCAGCATACAGGTCGAGGATCGTCCCCCACCGCTGGCTTGGTGATCGCATTTGATCTCAAATATGACGCCGTGCTCGGGTGGTACTACCCGGTGACGATTGTGCCTTGTAGTTCTGGCCGGTTAGCCTGCAATAGCATCTGTGACCTACCAGCTGTGGACAACGCATCGCAAGATTAGCACCCTTGAACTGGAGCAATCACAGCCAACCAATCTGCTGGGTACTTCCTTTCCCTTTTCATTATTTTTCTAATTCCCCATCATTATGATTTCTTCGAGAAATACACGAAGGAGCATCCCGCTGATTCTCTGCCTGAAGAATGCAAGATGTCCGAGGGTGATGTCGAGCACGTTTCTGGCCTCTTTGACGGCAGTCCCCGTCAGTACCAGCGCCTATCCTCCCAAAGCACCACCGACTATTTCTATGACGCTCTTTCGAATGGCGCTCGCGAAGACCACCTAGCCGCGCTGTCCTCCACTCCTGTTCCTCTGTCCGGTAAAGCGTATCCCACTCAGCCGGGTCTCACGAACCTGCAACCTTTCCCTCGACCTACCAGCATACCCCCGGAAGGTCATCCCAACAGTTACGATCGATCTTCACCTGATCCAGACGACTATTATCGCCCACATTTGCCCACCGTGGCTGCAAACGACGAGGAAGATCTCGACCTGAGCGCCGGTCATCCTATGTTGGAAGTGGGCAGCGACGCCGCCGCAGATAACCGTCCAAAACCTTTCCAGCGTGTGTCTTCGGTACCCATACACTTGCTAGAATCCACGAGTGCGGGTTTGAGCCAGTATCGTTCCGCTTCCGATTCATCGTATAAAAGCGTTGGGCACGAACCTACCTGGGGATCATCAGTGCGGGCCTCGGCGGCAAGATCGGGGCAGACATCCTTCAAAGATCTTATCAACAAATTCAACAACAACGTCGACCAAGTTCTGCCTGTTCCTTCCACATCCACAGTTCGGTCACGGGTAACTTCGAGAGCTGCCAGCCCGACCAGCCCGACCCAGTCTTCTTCACAATCCAGAGCCCTCCCTCGCCTGCGCGAAACACACCACCTTTCATCGAGACCACAATCTGGCCACTGGCAACCGCGGAGTGTATTCGACACAGAGTCTCCGTCAGACCTTCTTGCAGCTTCGCTCACGACGGCTGGCTTTGATGATAATCATTCGAGTACCTTGGCTTCATCAGACGCGATCCCTCGACGACCTACTCTTGGCGAACCGCTTCGCATTGACACGAGTCCGCAGATTTCTGGATATGGAAATTCGTCGAGGATACGGCGTCGAGGTTCTGACGGGATCATTCCCAGCCCGAATCCAGCTTTCTTAGACCCTTTCGATCCGTCGGCTGGTGTGACGCCGCTGACACCCACTGCGTGGTACCTAGGACGCACACCATTTTTGGAGTCCGTCAGTACAGGGTCAAATACAAACCCTCACAGGAGGACGAAGAGTGATATTCCTGGAAATTGGTCTATCGAGGTGGCAGCGAGCCCCCCCGACTCCCACATGGCGGTCCCGGCCCCCTTGCAGGCCAATTCCCAAGCATGCCCAGACAACAGCCCGCATACCCCGAAATCACGCATTCCGATTTCATCCCACCGCTTGAACTCTCCTTCCGTTTCAGACGAGTCTCCTCCCCCTTCAAGAGCCGGCACTCATTCCGGAAACCGTGCTACTGTTCAAGTCCATCTGCCACCAAAAGGCACCAGCCGCCTTCCCAAACCCTCGCCCAAATCCCCGCGTGATATGCCGAAAAATGATCAACTCCCAGGTTATGCCGCATCACCACGCGCGAAGCGGGAAATGGCTCATAGTCGGTCGCGCCAGCAGCTTCCGGAAAGAAATGCGCTTTTAGAAGCCTACATCGCCGCTCCTCCCCCGAAAAAGTCACCCCCTCTACGCAGCTCCCGACCACGCCAGCCTATAGCACATACTCAATCATCTCGATCGAAAGTAGTCGAGACGGTATCGAACTTTCAGAGGCAGATCAACCGCGATCGGGAGTATAGAAATTCCAGGGCGCGCGAACGAAGATTACCGGAGCTAGGCCATGTCGACTTCGCAACTAGGCGACAGAAAATACAACAGGCTTTCAATCGCACCGTCGAGGAGAATGAGCGGAAGGAGGAAAAGGCTGCTGAACTCAGACGTCAAACCAAAGCCCAGGAAGACAAGCCTGAACTCGCGCAGGCACCCACCGCTGAGCCATCGCAACCCACGGAAAGTGAAGTCCAGCCTTCTCTCCACGCTGATGATAACGAGACTGTCATTGAGGAAACAGTAGCGGCCCCGATTGAAGAATCAAACCAAGTACCCGAGACGAAGGACCCTCGACCGCGTCCCGAGCTCCATGTCGACACTGACGTCCATACTACACTGGAGAATGTAGACGGCGCTTCTGATACACACCTGATGACCATGGATTCACCAACCCTTGGGCACGCAGCGATAATAGAAAGGGACTTGGCATATGAGCCCAAGTCTCACGGTCCCCCGGCGTCTGATGTTACCTCGGAGTCTAATGAGACCCATGTGACTGCTTTTGATACCGAGCCACAAGTTGAGCTGTCACGAAAAGACCTACATACTTCTCACAGGACTCTGTTGAGTCAGATCATGAATATTCGCGAGTCCAGTCCAAGCAGCTCGTCATGCGATGAGCAGGAGTGTAGCTTCTCCGACAACGATGAGAGGGATCCCTTGCCTACCAGGTTAAGAAATGCTTTTGCTTTCGATGATCAAGCAGACAGCAGCGATAACCCGGAGTCATGTGATATTTACATGCGACATGGTGTGATGAACGGGGAGACATCCAATCGATGGAGTATGAGCTCCTGGTCGTCATCCCTTCGCAATCAGCATTCCGCAGACGAGCAATGCGACAATAGTGGAGATGATTTCTCCCACCTACAACAATGCACTGAAGACAGTGAAGTCGCGACTCAGTCCTGCTCTGCCTCTTCTAGTACTCCGTCGATTACCGATCATAAACTTTTGAGCTCATCATCCCCCAAGGATGGAAACGCAAAGGAGGGTAGACAAGAAGCGGTGGCTCACCCGAATGGCTTTGCATTTTCTAACGCTTCGAGCTTAGCAAGATTAGGTGGATGGGACTCAAAGAGAGTTGGACAGCTCTATCTGCAGGAGCTGGCAAATGGCAGGGGGCATGGACTTCCATTGCCAGCAATCCGCGCCTCTCCGGAGCCATCGCAGACGTATGCGGACAAGGAGACGGATCAGGGATCCGAAGGATTAACTGATGACGCGCTCGTTGTATCTCGTCTACGGGATCCTCCTGCTTTGGAGCGGCCAGGACATACAGCAAGTTTAGTCCTGCGTGACGACTGGGAGCATGCATCCCCTTCGATCATGGACTGGATGCAGGTGGCCGCTGCTGAGGATGAGTCTGTTCTGCAGGCACAGAACGGCGACACAGGCCCTGTGCCTGATAGTGCTACAACTCCACGGCTGGTTACCCCGAATCCTCAATCTTCTTGTTCAGAAGAAGCCGATGAAGGATTAGGTCTAGCTATTAAGGTACATCAGCCCCAAGAGCTTGACTCCCGCGAAAAGCAGCTGCCGTCGGTCCCAGAGCCACCTGAAGAAGACATACCGACCCAGAATATCGCCCCACAACAGCGAATGCAACCGCCTTCAAATGTCAATGCCACAGAGCAACGTTTGAGTACTATAATTTCTGGCATATTTGCGCCATTGGATCCTGTTCAGAGCACCGGTAGCAGCGAGGATTCCTCTCTTCGCAGGCTGGACCCGATACCGTCTCCCCAAACGTTCGACTCATCTTCCACCTCACTGGTTCCTTCAACATCAGAGCCTTCCCGTCTAAAAGCACAATCTCCATCTCCCGAGCAACGTCGTCTTAAAAAGCGCCGGCATGTGATCAAGGAACTTGTCGATACAGAGTACACTTTTGGACGAGACATGAAGGTCGTCGACGATATCTACAAAGGAACCTCGAGTTCTTGCTTGGATCTCTCCTCGGAGGACGTAAAGATTCTCTTTGCGAATTCCGATCAGGTCGTGCAATTCTCCATGGCGTTTCAAGATGCACTGAAGGAGGCAGCTAAGAGCGTTTATGTGATGCCCAAGTCCCAACGCTGGAGTAGCAAGCGTAGTGCCCGCCACCACGCTTCCAGGACTGATTCGGAGAACTCAAGCACGGCGGGCATATCCGACCTGGACAAAGATAGGATGACCTACATTGGCCAAGCTTTCATGAATCAGATGGGCTACATGGAGAAGGTCTATGCGGATTACCTGAAGAATCATGATGCTGCTAATAAGAAGCTCCAGACATTGCAGCGCAACCCTAAGGTTGCAATCTGGCTCAAAGAGTGCCGAGATTGGGCTTCGGACCTAACGACGGCATGGGACCTGGATTCTCTTCTCGTGAAGCCAGTGCAAAGAATCCTGAAATATCCTCTTCTGTTGGCTGAACTTCTCGACTCCACGCCCGACGACCATCCCGACCACCCAGCACTTGTCAGCGCCCTCGAGGAAGTTACTAATATCTCTGTGCGTATCAACGAGATGAAGAAACGTGCAGACCTAGTGGGCCAGGTGGTAGGGCGCAAACGCAAAGAATCCGATGTGAGGGCAGGCCTGTCTAAGGCTTTCGGTCGACGTACGGAGAAACTGAAGCAGCAGGTGGGTCTCTCTGACATGGTTGAGGACAAGGAATACGACACACTGGCCCAGAAATTTGGGGACAACTTCTTTCAATTGCAACTTGTCATGCGCGACGCAGAAATGTATACCCGCGAAGTGCAGACTTCCATGGACGGATTTAATGAATTTGTCGAGGCAATCCAAGGGTTCGTCAACGTTTCACCATCGAACTATGCAGAGTTGGAAGGAAGGTGGCGTGAGTTGAAGACCACTGTTGCGGAGATAATGACTGTGGCGTTGCCTGAACATGTAAGTGGAGGGTTCCGGATTTCAACCCCTCTGATAGTGCTTCTATGGCTAATTCGTGATTGTCTTTCAGATTGCGGTTGTTCGAAAGAGTGTCATTGACCCAATGGTCACGTTGCTCAAACTCCACGATGGCCCTCAGAGAGTAATGAGAAAGCGCGATAAGCGCCTTATGGACTATGCTCGGTTCAAAGCCGCGAAGGAGCGAGGAGACAAGCCTGATAAGAAAACTACCGAACAAGGAGAGCAGTTTGTTGCGCTCAATGAGACCCTTAAGGATGAGCTTCCCAAGCTCTATGCCCTGACTGCTAAGTTGATGGAGGCGTGTCTCAAGAACTTCGTGCACATACAGACTACTTGGTTCCGTCAACTACAGCACAAGCTTGGTTCTCTATTCGAGGCATTCCCGGAAGACATCCAGAAGATTGTGGAGGACTGGTCCTGCAATTTCAACTTTTCTGAATCGCAGGTCCTATCCCTGGGAATCTGCAATGGCTCCCTGCTTGCTGATACTGTCAACCTTGTCAACTTCAATACGCCTTCAACAGGAGCCACCATCAACTCGCCGCGGCGGCCTTCTACGGTTAATAGTGTTAGTACACGCGTGGGATCAACAATGGAGGATTCGCCCAAGATGTCTCAAGAATTCGGCAATGGCAGTCATTCGTTCCATTCACCAAGCTTCGAGACTCAATCCCAGGTATCCCATGGTCGCCACCGGGCAGATTCCACCTTTTCGGGCCGTACGGGGCATGAGACGGCCGAAATACCACGAAGTCAGATGCTGCAGCAGATCACTAGCACTTCAACCGCGTCTGTGCCAGCTTCAACCTCCACCACCGAGGCATTCCCAAGTCTACCCCGCCTCAGTCTCGACTCACCCTTCCTGGTGGATGTTATCGGTCCTTCGAGTGATGGGAACGGTGGCGCGAAAGTCGAGGAGCCGCCGACATCTCCTGATGGGCGGTACTCGGGATTTTTCTCATCAGCGATGCCGATGTCAGACAACCCTCAGGAAAACGCAACAACTCATAGCGAACGCCCCCATGAGCCAGCGGTGCTCTTCCTCGCGGCAAGCATCTATGAGTTCAATATCGACCGCGCACGGCGCGAGGCTGGCTATCCTTACCTGACGTATGTGGTCGGAGAGATATTTGATGTCATCGCCGAAAAAGGAGAGCTCTGGCTTGCCAAAAATCAGGACGACCCTACCCATCAGGTTGGATGGATTTGGAACAAGCACTTTGCAAAGCTATCAGCCTGAGAGACACTATTTCTAATAACATCCTTTATCATTATACTTCCCATGGGGAAATTTTGACAAGCCAAATTGGTGCGCCAATTTTGGCAGGGGCCTATGTCCCTCGATGAGCTCCATCTACCAGCTCATCACCCTCTGTTGTTGGCCCATGTTGACCTGGCGTCTTCTACGGCGCGCTACCGATCATTTGCCTTTAATCTGTTGTTTCTTTGATTGCTTACGTTCAGCGGGTTGGGTGGGATATAGTGTTGGCGAACTATCTGGTTTATCTGATTTGATGTCATGTTGGATGCTGAATCTCCGGAAGGATTGGATGGAAGATTGGTGGCCATGTGCGCTCCAGGGGAGTTTGATATTACTTTTCTGACAATTGTTGCGTCGGATCAAGACGTTGAGATGTACTTTTAGATACCCCTTGCTTGAAGTGAATGGATTGCTTAGCGTGTGCCTCTACAATGTTATGTCCTACATATAGAATCAATGTTTGTCTAGCCAATTTCCATACAGCTACCGAGTAGATCTCTAATAGTTAATAGGCTATCGTAACAGGGCTGAACCACGTGAGCGCACCGCCACAGGTGACGTCTGGCGGCGCCTCCCCCAGAGTGGCTGAGGATGGCTGATGATCGCCGGCCGACGACGAACTTGCAACTTCGCTCGTCGGCCATCGTCTCCATTTCCCCCCGGTTCGTCAATTGCTGGAGCTTGCATCATCATCTCCCTTACTCCCCTTCTTTCCCTTCGCAGTTGGCCCCCGACGTCCTGCCGTATGTGATCCGAGCACCGCAGCCGGGGATCGTTTCGACCAGCCGATTCCCACCTGTCTCTATTGATCCTCCGCCCACGGAGACCCACGGACCAGGCAGACGAATACCAACATCCCCTGCCTAGGCTTTCGTCTACCGATTTGTCTTGCAGGCCTATCGCGAACACTCAAGGTTACCGATATATTGCCTTTCTTCAGCCCTTTCTCCCCCTCCGTTGGTTGTGAGCGGAACCTTATTCCTCGACACTTCGGTGACCTCGGTGGACGAAGTGGACGAACAGTTAGATCGAAGGCGAGGGCGACCAGTATAGTCTCCTTGGAGTAAACACGATGCGTGACGGTGGGCTTGGGAAGTTACAAAGGAGGATGAGACGATTTGGCGATACAGTAGGTCAACCGGAGCTTTCTGTCCCTCGTCCATTACCCTTTCACATGTGCGGGGTCTTGTCGGCTTGGGAAACAGACTAAACGTGGCGTAGTTGAACCCGGATGATGCGTATCTAAGTTGTAAGTTTTCTCGCTTTCTTCCCACGCTGCCGTTGAGAGATGTAGATGAATAATAATGATTGAGTTTTAGACCATGATGTTCGATGTACGTTTTTTCTGTCCGATTAAAGAAACAAATCCACCGCCGTTTGACGCTTCTTTGATCCCGGTCTCTAACAAACGGATACAGTAACACGAGGGGACATGCAGTCGCTGAAGAATGACTGGCTGACCGACAATGTTCGTGAGATGCTACTAATGATCTACTCTACTGTTACATGGAAAGCTAACACGCCGAATCACCGTCATAGGTCATCTCCTTCTGGGAGGAGTAAGTTTCCCTGCCTACCTCACGAAAAGTTCCCGTCCATGAGGCTCACTAGATCAACAATTGCAGATACCTTGAACACGAATTCCTTGTGCAATACAGGTCCTCCAATATCGTCCTCCTTCGACCGAGCATGTCATTCATGATCTTGCAGACGCCAAACCCGCATTCTCTGCGTGAAGCCCTCCCCGATTTTTCTCGAACCACGCATGTCTTCCTCCCGATCAACGATTGTCGCAATGTCACGGAAGCAGAGGGAGGCACACACTGGTCATTACTGTTGATTTCAATTGTGGACGGGATAGCGTTCCACTATGATTCGCTGCCCCCGGGGAATTTCTGGGAGGCGCGGACGGTGACTATGAAATTCGCGGCACTACTAGGACGACCCATCAACTATGTTCATCTGGAGGATTCGCCAGTACAGGAGAACGGAAGTGACTGTGGCGTTTTTGTTTGTTTGAGCATGCGCCATTTGTTACTGAAGAGATTGCTCACTGCCAACGCCAATGAGAAAGTTAGCATGAGTCTTGGTGGGCGGAAGGTTGATGCTCGGTCGGGACGCAAGGAAATGGCCAAGATCATTGAAGGCTTCCGAAAGGAGGGCGAGAGACGGAGATCGTACGTGATCGAACCCCCAGCCAATAACTAAGTACACCCGCTTGGTCTAGTACTGACACTTGAACTGCAGAGCGAGTCTAAGCCCCCTGGGCAAGAAGTCAACGAGTCCTCCACGGATTGAATGATATCACAATCAATCAGGACAACTCAGGCTCGGCGTCGGAAAGGTTTGTACATTGGGAGTTGTTGATACCAGGTCTCGGATACTGCATACATATGCCAGAGGGGTTGATATGACTGTGTTGGGGACTCGGGCGTAGTAGCGCCATTGGAAGCCCTTCTGGCTATGCATCTTTCTTCTATTGTCTCTGCTATGCTTGCACTATGTTTTTATTGTTGTTCTTCCAGTTTTTGAATTCGGACAGCATATCTTCCTATCGATTGTCGCATTGTTATGACATGGAAACGGGTAATGAGAGACGTGCATTTTGACTATGTCGCTGCCTTTGCATTCTAGCTTAAGCCCTGTTTTGATCCTTTCCCGACTCACGACGTGTTTGTGTTTGGATGGATTAGTTACGTTGCCTGTGCCACTGGTGTAATTAATAATATGTCTCGTGTAGTTGGATACATGTCTTGAATACGATATATAAATATATATATATATCTGCCATGCTTTTAGTTGTAATAGTAATTGTATTACTCGCCAACATAGCAGACGTATATATATCATACTGTCGGACCGTATCTCTCCGTTTACTCTCCAATATAGTGCACACTGAAGTAGTACCGGCATTAGTATTTACTTATATCCTGCTTAGTCTGCCAGGCAGTGCCGGTAGGGCTCTGACATATACTGCCAGAGTGTAATGCACTATGCCACCGCAGTAAATATTAGTTAGTAGTACTATCAAATGATCCACCGTCAATACTTAGTCGGAGTCGTGACATTGCCACTTCAACTTTCACCTTGACACCACGACTAAGTAGTACTAGTAGAAGTAGAAATAGAAGAAGTATCTTGAAAAAAAATTGAAGCGCAGCCAACGATCTTCTTTGAAGTTAATATCACTGCCATGGACTACTACGCTATCTTCCAACCTAGAGACATTCCACCCTCGTACTCACTACACCATAATATACTCAATACTGGCCCCCAAGACAGCCATAGCAAACGGCTTGTCATAAGGGTAACTGGTTAAGATACGTACCTTCCTCCTCCCATCCTCCTTTCCTCCTCACTCACTTCGTCTATGCAGTGACTCACCTGGACTATTACCTCCTCCCACCCTGTCTCCCAGGAAACACGTTCCTTCCCTACCTGGGGTAATGTATCTGAAGTAGTGAATGAGGTGGGTTGTTGTTCTATGCAGGCGGGATCGGCGCTAACTGCTTTGACATGAGCTTGGCTTGACTTGGCCTGTCATGTTGCTGTGCAGGTCCCCTGTAGGTATATCATGTACTTGGGAGGATGGTCTTAGTCGTTGTTGTGCTGACTCTTGCTTTGCTGTTTCGGCTCCGAGTGTCTGCAGATGAAGCAGTTCGTGCCTTCTTTCTGGAGCGAGGACATCCGTACAGGGTAACGGTCTGTTGTTCTCTCGCATGGTCCTTCCCATATCGTGGCCATTGTCGTCGTTCATTGCACACTCTACCATGGCAACGAGGTGTTCATACCTTCTCTGTATAGCGTTCCTTCTACTTTCTGCTTCATCCTCGAGAGTAGTTGCCTCGATAGTAAACATGCCCCAGTATATAAGGGCTCTCTTCCCTTTCCTCCCTCCCTCCCCTCTTCTCTTCTCTCCCCACACCGTTTGGTCCCTTGATGCTAGTATCGTGATTTATCACCTTGCGTTCCCTCAAGCCCATTCGTGTTTAGCTCAGCTTTTATAGCTTCTGCTTCCGCTGCCTTGTCCCTTTATTTTCTTCCACCTCGCCCTCCCCTTACCCTTCTTATCCGTTTTTTGACCAGGTACTTCAGATGACTCGCCTCTGGATACCTGGGTTGCCCTACAAGAAGGCCCCCGTAGCCGACCGGTTCAAGTCGAGCGCGCAATTCCTTTCGTTTCCGATGGCACCAACCGCACGCTTCGTCTTTCGCCGGAACTACGAGGTTCCCTCTTCCCGCTCCTTCCAGCCAGTTTCGCCCCCCCGAACTGTCGTCCGCTCTCTCCTGCCAGTCTCGACTGGCGTCCATTCCCTCTCCCGCAAGCCAGCTTCGCCTGGCGTCCGTTCTTTTGCCCAGATGCGACAGGGCTCGCATCTGCCGGTCTCTGTGAGACCATCCACTCCTTCCCCTGTTTCCCCACCTGCCCCAGCTGCCACTGGGGCAGGGCGTTCGCTAACTCGCTCTGCTCTTTCCTCTCGCCTGGAGGAAAGGCGGGCTTCTCGACAGGCACGATCTCGGCCTTGGGCGGCTACACCCAAGGTCGAGAAACCCCGGTCGACAACCCGCCCTACCCCCCGAGTCGAACGAGCCTCTGTTCCCTCCGACCGGGCTATCTACAGCCCACATATGGCGGCGCGTGCTCGTCGGGCGATCAGACGGATCGACGAAGTCCTCGCTAAGCCTGCTCTGGTCAAGGCCAGCGCAGGTGGACGTAAGGCCAAGTCCGTGAAGTCTGTTCGTTTCGGCGAGGACACCGTCATCCCTGTGTCCTGTTGGATAGTTCGGCGCGAGCATGTCTTTCCAGCTCCGTTGGCGGCCATGGGTCACCTTCAGGGTTGGAAAGTTACACCTCGCTCGGAGCCAGATGAGGAGGGTGAACTAGAAAAGTACACCACATATTGGGGTTCCGACTCTTATGTGATGCTTGACTGTCACTCTGCCTCGGAGCCGTGTGGCCGTGAAGGGTGTCAGTACAACCGACTGGCTAGCATTGCTGCCAGGAGGCCACGCTGGGGTCCCGCCACGGTCTTCACGGCTTGGAACATGCTCCGAGAGAAGGTCCGGCAACGTGGTGGTTTCCGGCTGTGAGTCGTTTTCCTCCCCGTTCCTGTCACTCATTTTACCCTTCTCTACCCACACTCGTTTGTCTCCTTGGCTTTCTTCCAAGTCGTCCTTTCTTTCTCGCTTTTCCTTTGTCAGCGTCTGTTTATGGACTGGCTCTGGTCTGTTTCGGGGGAAACAGACCATCCAGGTTTTGCTGATCGGGTAGCAGATGCTGGCGTATATCCTGCTGTGGTATTGGTGGCGCATTGAGCACCGAAGAGAGGTATGTCTATCATCAGCTGAGCATAGAGCTATGTTACTGACGAGACTGTATAGGATTCCGCAGCAGAGGGTTCCCTATTAACGAGGGGTAATGACGCAAGCTTGTACGCGGGCTTTAAGTCGTAGTCCCTCACTCGGAGCGTCAGCAACCCGTTGTAGCTCCCCGACGACGACGAACCGACGAGACGACGACCGACTGACCGACCGACGACAACGACGACACCGATTCGCCGGAGGCCGATTGGGGGTAAGTAGCTCCCTATTGACATGATATACAGAAGAGAAGCTAACTGTAGCTTGTAGATGGTGGTGGGCCATCGACAACACGACAACATCGACGCCTCCTTCGACAACAACGACGACGACGACAACCGACGACGACAACCGACGGAGCTACACCGGGCGGCTAATTGCGCTTCACCGGAAGCGCGTTAAGGTATGTGTTTCTTCGCATGCCCATGTATCTAGTAGAGCTTAGTATATGCTAACGTGTAACTGATAGACGGAATATTACCCAATCATGCGGATGTACTGGGAGGGAATATTTCTCGTCTTGGGTTGAGTTTGGTGGCTGGTGACGGAGAGGTTGGAGGTAAGCTTGCAGTTGAATCCATCGGAGTTGGATTAAAGAGGAGAGAAGCTAATGGATCTAACAGATAAGGGAGATTGTTGATCAAGGAGGATTAGCTGGACTTGAGTCCAAGCGGGGAGAGCAGCGGAGTGGGATTGTTTGTTTTGTTTTGCGGTAGATAGTTACCAAAGACCATGGCATCATGGCACATTTTGCGTGGGTTTATTGGCGTTGGGTCACGGTCTATTATTATTATCTTTCTTTTGTTACATTCTCATATGGCCCCGGAGTTTCTGGTGTTGGTTTGGCTTTTTGTCTTTTTTCCTTTTGATTTCCTTTTGTTTGTTGTTGATCGAGCAGGGATTTTGCCTGTCTTTAGTTTGTTGCTTCTTTACTTTTTTTTTTCCTGAATGGATCGTCATTTCTGTTCCATCTGTGTTGGTGTGCAGAGTATCAAACTGTAGTTGAGTAGTTGATGTTGGAATGGACTTCGTTGACTGAGTGGAAAATGAGCAGAACTGTATTAAAGATCTAGAAGCGATCTAACCCAAGTATGCAGCCATGCAACCATGCAACCATGCAGCCATAAATGCAGACACTATGAAATGCACCAAATCCACGAGGAACAGAACATAATAACTCAACAAACACAACACAATCAATGCAACTAAACGCAGAGAAGTTCAAAAGAAAGACAACACCATGTCCTCATCCATCCTCACCTACTTCCAACTTCATCATAGATAAGAGATGAAGAAAGAAAATCAAGCCATCAACTCATTCCACAAATCCGCCGCATCCTGCCCCACAAGCCCGCTACTATTCACCTCATCCTCCGCACTATAGCACGCATCAATCGTCTCCTGCGGCGCATTGCACGGGCTAATCAACCGATTACAGATAAAGTTCATCAACGTATCGATGGTCGTCGAGCTCCCGTGCTCAAACTCGACCTGGTTGTTCGTGATGTAACTCCACTCTGTCCGGTTGTCCAGTCCGTATTGCCATGAGATACTCGGGTCTGAGCACTGCCCGAAGTCGAGTCCGGTGTCGCCGTCGCCGCCGGGCGTGCCGGTTGGGCAGGTGTCATCGGTGATGGTCACTGTTGCAGTTGCAGTTTCGG